CTCTTGGGGGGAGGGGCGACAGCGGTGGGCCTGTATGTCCGGCTGCAAGAGCCTCCTGTCCTGTCTTCTTCAGGTACCTGAACCCAAAGAGGACATCTCTCCCCACCTGGCAGTGCCTGGTGTGTACTTCATCTGCCCACTCACAGGTGTCACCCTGAGGAGGGACCAACGGGATGCCCACATCAAGGAGGCCATCCTGTCGGTGAGTGTCCTGTGCGCCAGCATCAGGCCTGAACCATTGGACACATGGTTCCACAGATGCCCATCAAACCTAGTGTCTTAGTAGCTACTCTGCCGCTGTGAAGAGACACAATAACCAGGGAAAGGTTTTTTTTGTTTTTTGTTTTTTGTTTTTTTTTTTGGTTTTTCGAGACAGGGTTTCTCTGTATTGTTTGGAGCCTGTCCTGGAACTCTGTAGACCAGGCTGAACTTGAACTCACATAGATCAGCCTGTCTCTGCCTCCCAAGTGCTCAAGTGCTGGGATTAGAAGCGTGTGCCACCAACGCCCAGCCCCAAGGCAACTCTTTTTTTTTTTTTTTTTTTTTTTTTTTGGTTTTTCGAGACAGGGTTTCTCTGTGGCTTTGGAGGCTGTCCTGGAACTCTCTCTGTAGACCAGGCTGGCCTCGAGCTCACAGAGATCCGCCTGCCTCTGCCTCCCGAGTGCTGGGATTAAAGGCGTGCGCCACCAACGCCTGGCCTTTTTTTGGTTTTTTGAGACAGGGTTTCTCTGTATTGTTTTGGAGCCTGTCCTAGAACTAGCTCTGTAGACCAGGCTGGCCTCGAACTCACAGAGATCCACCTGCCTATGCCTCCCAAGTGCTGGGATTTAAAGGTGTGCGCCACCAACGCCCAGCCCCAAGGCAACTCTTAAAAAGGTAAGCATTTATAATTGGTCTGGCTTACAGTTAGCAGAGAGCATGGCGGCAGGCAGGCATCGTGCTCGAGAAGTAGCTGAGCGTTACAGATCATGACAGTCTGAAGAGACAAATCAAGAAATAGGGCCTGCCATGTTTTTTTCCCCCAGACAGGGTTTTCTCTGTAGCCTTGGCTGTCCTGGAACTCAATTTGTATACCAGGCTGGACTCTAATTTAGAGATCTTCTGCCTCCTGAGTGCTGCACCACCACCACTGCAAGGGCTTTTGAAACCTCAAAACCTACTCCTAGTGACACACTTCCTCCAACAGGACCACACCTCCTAATCCTTCTAATTCTTTCAAATAGTGCCACTTCCTGGTGATTAAGTTTTCAAATATATGAGCCTGTGGGGGCCATTTTTATTCAAACTACTGCACCTGGGGAGTTCTCTGATGGCCCAAGAGTCTACCCTTTGTTTTTGCCTCATCTACAAATGAGGCATAGAACACTCAAAAAATAGAGGAAGTACATTCCTATTGTCCTTAGATTCAGGAGGCTAAGGCAGAAGGATTGTGAATTTTGGGCTGGCCTCTGTAGCTCATTCGTGCGTGCACGCTCGAGCACACACACACCCACCCACCCCCGGGAATAAGGGGACATGTACACACCTGCAACCAGCTTTGACAGTACCTGGTGGCTTCAGGTGTGCATTTCAGTCCTGAACTGTAGTGCCAGGAGTCTAGCAAAAGCCTTGCTGGGGTAAATCCAGGTTGGGAAGACTGGCCTTCCCCAGCAGCTAGAGGCCTCATCCCCTGGTGTGTGACTTCATCTTCCTGGGAGCTGTCTGGCTCTCCCCATTTGTGGGTCTTCTGACCTAGCTCATGATAAGCCACTGCCCTTCCCACAGCCCACCAGTATATTTCTGGGTTCCAGCATCATACCAGCAACTCAGATTTGCTGGTGTTAATGGCAAGCTTGTGTCCCTCTGCTACTCGATACCCACTGTAACCACCATGGTTCCAGCTTCTCAGAGCATCTGGGAGTTACATGATCGGCAGCTATGGGAACCCTCGCCAGGTCCTATGGTTCACAAGGCACAGCTGTATGACCACAAGAGCCCCAGACATCTGAAGGGATGTGTGGTCTCCTTTTCCTGATTGGCTTTTTCCTCATGGTAGAAGAGGCATAAATGGCCTCCACTGAAGGCATGCTCCTTGCCCTCGGTCACTCATGACTAGCCTTGGCTTATACCACAGTGGCCTGTGATTGTTGCCCCTCTGCCCATTTCCCTGCAGTCTTATGGGGTCCTCAGCTTGCCCTCCCCTCCTCCAGCACTTCTCTACAGATCCCGTGGCTGCCTCCATCATGAAGATACATACGTTCAACAGAGACCGAGACCGTGTGAGGCTGGGCGTGGACACCATTGCCAAGTGAGCTCAAGGGGTCTGAGCATTGGGGACTGTCCCCCCTGTGCTGTGGGTGTGATGCTCACTCTGGCTGGGTGAGGCCCAGAGGGAGAAGAATGAAGTCAGGTGATTACCTGTGTGCGTCTCTGCCACACACAGATACCTGGATAACATCCATTTACACCCAGAGGAGGAAAAGTACCAGAAAATCAAACTGCAGAATAAGGTGTTCCAGGTACGCTGCAGCCACAGGCTGTTCTGGGGTCACTTGGCATGGGGTGGGCATCTTGCAATGTTGCCTGGCTTTTGTCTGATCATTTCTTTGTTGAGACCAGATGTCAGTATGTAGTTCAACGTAACCTAGTACTGGGGGAAATGCTCTTGCCTTACCTTTCAAAGCTGTAGGATGCAGACACACAGTACACTACCCATCCTTCTCATACAAGTATTTAATTTACATGGAGCCATAGCATGGGTGTAGAGGAAAAAGAATTGGCTCTCTCCTCCTCCTCCACGGGTCCTGGTATCATACTTAACCTAGCCACCTCACCAGCCCTGACTGAATTTTTTGAGTATAGCATCTTAACTTTGAAAACCACATACATGTTGGGTCTGTGATCGAAATTCACTAGGGTTGGGGACCTGGATCCCTCAAGTGGCCGCTCTTCAATTTGAATACCTTAGAAGTCACCCTGTGACATTTGTTCTACAAATACAGACATGAGGCTTGTGGGCGCAGCCACCCCAGCCTGTGCCTACAGCAGCGCCTTAACTCCAGCCACAAAGCCATGATGGCTGATGTCATCCCTAGATGGCATCAAGAAAGGCTCTTCATCAGCTGTGGGTCTTCAGCTGGGTGCCAGCGGGGGCTGCTTGGTATCAATTCCAGTGGTGCAAGGGGTCCTGGCCCCATGGCCTGGGTGACGTGTGTGTTGTCCCCAGGAGCGCATCAACTGCTTGGAGGGCACCCACGAGTTCTTCGAAGCCATTGGTTTCAAGAAGGTGACACTACCAGTGCCAGATCAAGGTGAGGGCAGCCAAGCAGGAGGGAGGGTGCAGGGGTGATGTACAGACGTGGGGACAGCTGTGACACCTCTGCAGATGGTTCTGAGGAGTTCTATGTGCTGGGTGAGGCCACACGAGCACAGCCGCAGAGCCTGGAGCAGTACAAGCAGCAATTGCTGAGTGCAGAGCCCGTGCGAGCCATGCTGGACCGGCAGCGCCGTGTCTTCCGTCCCTCGGCCCTGGCCTCGCACTTTGAGCTCCCCGCTGACTTCTTCAGCCTCACAGCAGAGGAGGTGAAACGTGAGCAAAGGCTCAGGTAGGCCCATGTGAGGAGGGGACAAGGGGGCAGTTCTTAGGGTGGCAGCCTGACCGTGCTTGACCCCACGGCAGAACTGAGGCCGTGGAGCGGCTGAGCTCACTGAGGACCAAGGCCATGCGCGAAAAGGAGGAGCAGCGGGAACTTCGCAAGTACACTTATGCCCTACTGCGCGTGCGCCTGCCTGACGGCTGCCTGCTGCAGGGTGCGTGGCCTCTAGTCCAGGGTGGGTGGTGGGGATGGCTGCACCATCTAGCTCATGCTCTCTGCCCCACAGGGACCTTCTATGCCCGGGAGCGGCTGTCTGTGCTCTTCCAGTTTGTGCGCGGGGCATTGCAGAATGACTGGCTGCCCTTTGAGCTGAGGGCCTCGGGTGGACAGAGGCTGGTGGAGGACGAGGCCCTGGCCCTGAACGAGTGTGGGCTGGTGAGCTGGGGGCTGTCACCTTTGGTGGGTTGACTGTCTCAATGCCTTGGTTTCACTCAAGGGCTGACCCCAGGGATCTGTATGGAGAAGGTGGTATGGGTTAGGTCACCCGTCTGAGGGCGGTCTGGCTTAACAACAGCCATCACAGGGTTGGGGATGGTGTCACAACCCAGGTGACAGTCTGCCTGCCCTGCAGGTGCCCTCTGCCCTGCTGACCTTCTCCTGGGATGCTTCGGTGTTGGAGGACATGAGGGCTGCAGGAGCTGAGCCAGCCACATCTGTCTTGAGGCCGGAGCTGCTTGCAGCCATCGAGCAGCTCTCCTGAATAAAGCAGGCTTGGCCCAGCATGTGCTGTCATGCTGTCCCCCAAACCCATTCCTTACCCTGAGCCCCCAGCAATAGAAGGGACACTAATAGCAGTAGAGTTGGGAACAGGGTCCTGTCTCAGGATTTGAGTCCTCTGGGCTGCAGGACAGGCCTGCCCCTTCCTGAGGCGTGTGGAGCCCCTGGGAGCCCAGCACAGGTGGCAGAGTGGGTCTGTAGCATGGGCACAGGCCTCACAAACTGGATGGAAGCAGCCTGCCCCATACCTGTGCTGGAGACAACAGAAAGCAGGTGCCTGGCAGCACAGAGCTGTATTTCCTAAGTTATGAACCCAAATAAACAAGCTATTTAAACCCAGCCTCCTGGTGTTCCATCAGAGCACACGAGGCAGCACCACGACAGTGGAAATCCTACAGCCAATGGGCCCAGGCTACGCAGCCTCGAGGCATTGCTGGAAAAGGGCATCACAGCGTACGTGCTGGGGTGGGCGGGGCAGGCCAGGCATGGCACCTCGCTTGGGGAACATGACACCAAGGGCCCCTTTTTGAGGGACACATCATCCATCTTACTGGGGACATCCTAACTAAGCTCTGGCTGGGCCCAGGACCTTTGCAGGGGACAAGTGGAAGGCCACACCCGTGTGACATAAGTCATGACAAGACAGGCTCGGGTAGAGTGTGTTTATACGTGTTCATGTTTGTTCAGGGCCCGCCTCACCGTCCCTGCACAATTCATTAGCAGGTGTTTGACCACAGCAGGCACCTGTTGATCAGCTGGGATAATGCTTAACTAAGAAGGGGAGATCAGCACACAGGCCTGGCTGGGGCTTTACAGTTGAGAGTAACTGCTCAGGCCTCCTGTAGGCTCCACACCATGGGGTGTGGACAAAGTGCTCTTTACATGGGAGTCAGCAGGAGGCTCAAGTCTGGTGGCTGCACAGCGCCACATGGCAGGCTGTTGCTAGCGCCCATCTCCATCTCCCTCAGCAGCTCTACGAGGCTGAGGGGAGGCATGGCTGCCACTGCCCAGGCCATGCCATACACCAGCCTTGCGCTCCAGGCACCTGCATTCCAGGTCACTTTTCCCCAGGTCTTTCAACTTGACATCTGTCACTTGCAAGGTGTGGGTTCAGGCATGGGAGCCTCTGTCACACTCATAATCATACAGTCCGTGTCGTCGTCCTCGTCCTCTTCTGTGTCTGCCTGGAAGCCATCCATGTCCCCAGAGCCAACCTGCACAAAATACAGCCTGTGAGCATCTTGACCCATCCACTCCCCAACACACTGTCCTGGACAGTGACAGTGTCCACACCAGGGCCTACCACTACAAGCCCTCTAACATGAGCCACATATCCTCCTAAAAGCTGCCAACAGCAGCACCCCAGAACAACCCGAGTGGCTTGGCTTCTCAACTTTGGTTTCAAAGAACCAATGGAACATCTACTTTCTTGGCATTTTCTTTCTCCTGGTGGCTAAGACTTGGAGGCTCCTGCAGCTGTGAGCATCCCTGGCCAGTTCATAGGCTTCTGAGGACAGGACAGATGAAGCCAGGGTGACCCCCACACGGGGAGGAAACAGCCCACTGGCCTTTGACGGGGAAGGCAGCTGCTTCTATACAAGTCTGAATGCCTGTTGTGCACATGCCTACCTACAACCATGCATGGTGGTGTGGAGACCAAGGCAGGAGGATCAAGAGTTGAAAGCAGCCTGGGATGCTCAGTGATTAAGAGCCCTGGCTACTCTAGCAGGGGACCTGAATTGGTTTCCAGCACTCACACGGCTGTTCACAAATGCTTTTAACCCCAGCTGCAGATGATCTGATGCCCTGAGAGACTCCATGGATACTGTGCTTACATGCACACACACACCCACAAAAACATGATAAATTCTTAAAGCAGAGAAAACTGAGTGTTAAAGACTGTGGCACCGTTAGCCCAGTAAAAGGTTGAACTACTCTGTACTCTAAATGAATACAGAACATTCAAGAATGCATGGCGGCCAGACCCAGCAGCCACTCCTCACAAGCAGATCTAGCGAGTCTGACGGAACACTGGGCTACTAAAATGTGAGCACCATGCTGGGCCTGTGCCTTCTGGAGGCAGCACTTCCAGCCACAAAATGCAAACGCCCACCAATGTCCTTTGTGGGGACATGGAGTTCTGGGCTAAGGACGACAGCAAAGTGTGCCTTTGAGCCTTGCTCCCTGCTCCTGTGGGGTACAGTCAAGATCATGAAGAGGACGACAAGAAGAGTGTCCATCCACGGTGGTAGCCAGTGCCAGTCAATACTTGGAGCCCACGCCCTAACCACACCCTCTAATATCACAGAAGAGCACCAGAGATGTCAACACGTGGTGAGCAAGCTAGACTTCTAGTGACAGAAAGGACATTTTAAAGAAAAAAAAAAAAACAAACCCTGACACTGCTTCAGTGGGCAGGGCTGCACAAGCCTCTGATGCTGTGTCACACGCTTGTGCCCATGGGCTCAGTAGACGGTACGTCAGCTGTCCATGTGCACAAAGTGCCGTTGGGAGTTAGGAGCTATTGAGCAAGAATGAACTAAGCAGTACAGTAGCAGGCTAAGGGTCACTAGCTATGTGGCCCTGATTATGGCATTCAGGGCTATGGACGGAGACGCATGGCTGCTAGTGTGGGTGGGCAGTGGGACACAGGCTCTTGGGGAAGGAAACAACTCCAGGTAACGTGACGGGGGTCATAACAGCTGGGTCACTAAGAACCAGCAACTCAGCCAACTGTGGCGCCTCGGGTGACATCAGCGTGAGGAGTAAGATGCAGCAGTAGAGGCAGCTGCTGTCCACTCGAGGCTACTGCGACTTCAAAGCTGTTGGAGAAGGGCAGCAAGATGGCCCAGTGGGTAAAGGTGACTGTTGTACAACCTGGCAACCCAAGTTCCACCCAAAAACCTACACGAAGGTGGTAGGGAACCAGTGCCACAAAGCTCTCCGCTAGACACAGGTGAGCAAGGCCCATGCCCTCTGAGGCTCACCTGTCCATCGTACCGTCTTTTCTTCATGAACTGCGTAATGCACATGGTGGCTGCTGGCTTCCGCTTGATTGGCATGGGTGTGCCCTGGCCAGGCCCCTCGGTGGAAGCATTGCCATTGTCTTCCCTGGGTGTTGAGGGCACGGCGGTGACGTAGGTCCACTGGCAGGGCACAGGCAGGCACTCCTGGCCAAAGCTCCTGAGCACCTGTGGGTGCACATACCAGCACATACGGAAGTCGGGCCGCTTCTCATAGGCCGAGTTCTCAGAGATGAGGCGCTTCAGCCTGGCCTTGGACGGCACGGCCACAGTACCTTCCGGGTTAGCTGTCTGTGGGTGTGAAGCAGGCCTCGTGGGGCTCAGCAGGCCGCGGCGGCACTGCTCTTGGAATTCGCGGATGATCACCTTGCTCCCGTTCACATTGCCATGCAGCAGTGGAAGCAGCTGGGCCAGGACTGCGGGAGGAGACAGGGTTAGAGATGAAGCCGTGAGAGGCTCCAACCGAGGCACACTTCAAGGAAAGCCACTGAGGGCTAGCCGTGTGCCCTCAGACTCCTCCTGAGTGGTCACTCCTCTCTGAATCACATGTGTCCCAGGTTTAGGACACAGGATAGCACAGTCCAGGTCAATTCTGGCTTAATATTCTGCTGTGTGACCTACTTTATTAATCACCAAGGAGCCAGGCCTGGGCTGCAATCAAAGCACTCAAGAGGCAGAGGCAAGAAGATCTCTGAGTTCAAGACTATACAATCTGGGTCACAATGCAAGACACTGACTCAAAATTAAAGTTAAAACAGTCATGGACAGCAACATGGGTGTGGCTCCACGTCGAGCACTTGGCAGGCGCATGTGAGCCCTGTGTTTGTACCCAGTGCCAAAATTGAAAAGGGCAAGCTGCTACACAGAGAGCAGAAGGCCTACTTGCTGTGCATGCAGACAGCTGTTTGCAAACAGGTTCTGCAGACTTGAGACCTCAACAAGGACACCGTGAATAGCGCTGTGCCCAGACAGACTGGCACTCTACTTACTATGCTGGTCCCTTTTCTCCCAGCTGGAGGCTCTGGGCTCTGGCTCTTCAGAGGGTGCTGCATCCAGCAGGCATGCGGTGAACTGCTGCAGCAGCTTCAAGTCGGAGCTTGCGCAGTTGGCTGCCTCGGCTGCCCATACACACCCCACTTGCACAGGCTGCAGTACACGGAAGCGCTTGCCCTTGGCTAGGAGCTCATCCCACTCCTTGGCCTTCAGCTTCTGGCGCACTTTGTGGTTCTCGGGGTCCGCACACTCCTGGCAGGACAGAGAGCAGACCCTTGTTCAGTGCCCACGCTCTCTGGCAACTCAGCACCGACACAGAGCTACGGAGAGCCAGTGCCAGGCCCTGTGAGGAGGTAGCAGCGAAGGGCAAGCCAGAGGGGTCAGTTCACACCCTGAGCTGTGTGATGAGCCAGGGTGCTCTGGTGGCTGTGCCTGTCCAGCCTCCTGGTTTCCATGACCTAGTTAACAGGTGATCAAATTGCCAACCCCAGAGCAAACACTGCCCAACAGGGCCTGGGCTGCCCAATGACAACACAGCCAGAGAGGAGAAGGCACAGCCAGCCTGCCCCCAGCTACCCTGTTCAGACTTTCTAAAATTGCAACAAGGAGCTCAGGGCTTAAGGACACCACTCAAAGTCTCCATGGCCTCTTATGGGAGAGCATGCAGGGGGGAGGGGGCGGGGGCAGCGCACGGGGACCTTCTGGAGCTGTGGGGCAGCCTGTGCTTTCTTCAGGGGGTTTGTTAGAACTCTAGGTGAAGGTGGATTTGTAGGCCAGGCTGCATGCCAATCACTCTGCAGCAGACAAAGCCCTACACCTGCTCACCGGAGCCCAAGTCACAGCAGCTGATCACCCCAATACCCCACAACAAGCCCAAGCAGGAGCCCTCACCTCAGTCACGCCTTCATCCTCAGACAGGTACCCATGGGGCACAAAGAAACCATCGTCCTCGTCTTCATCTTCCCCTATATCATCATCCTCATCCTCGAAGAAAAAGAGAAGAACTCACACACATACAAAACAGGTGTCAGAGTTCAAGGCCAGCCTGGTCTCTCATGAACACAAGTACCCATGCAGGTGCTGAGGGCTTGCAGAGCCTGCCTACAGTCCAGCACTGGCCTCACATGTGCCCAGCTCATCCCTAGCACCACAGTGCATCTGGGCACAACTGCATTGGTGTCACAGGACCCCATTAGGGCACAGGAGGCTGGGAGCCTGAAGAGTGAATACATGTAGGCAGAGGAAGAAAGGACTGGTAGGACGCAGTGTGGCTCCAATAGTTTGTCCACATGATGGGGGAAGCAGAGGCAGGAAGCACTCACTAGTCCAAGCAGGACCAGAACCTCAGATCCCCTGGTCTGCCCCACATTAGACAACTGCACAGTGGTTCCTGCAGCTGGTAGAGAGGCTACTTGTCCCTGCTGGGGTTACTCACCCCCTCACTGTGGGACAAGGACTCCCCAGGTTCCTCCTCTTCCCACTCTTCGTCACTGTCCACCTCATAGTCAAGAAGGCTCTGCAGGGAGAATGTGCGTGAGTATCACGCATAAAGGAGCACAGGAAAGTGCCCCACCCTATACAGCTCCCGGCTCACCTTGTCCTGGGCCCAGGGGTCACGGGGGCGGATGACTACAGACTTCTTGTTCCATGTCCCCCAGTATGCTGGCCGGTGGTTCTCTGAGAACTGCAGGAGCTTCATGCGGCCAAACCTCCTCCTTTCAGGCACACCATCCACCTTGCTCTCCACAATGACCACGTCCCTGGGTGGTCAGACCGTGCTTAGAACTGTGCACATGGCTGGCTGCCATGTGACCTGCCTATCCGGGAACTGTTCAGGACACCCAGGAAGATGGTAACTCTAGGGGGTCACCTTCCAGGTCCTCCTGTGGCAGGTCTCACCTGTCCATGTTGGTGCTGCGGCTGCAGACAAGTGTGGGTCCCGACCTCAGTGGCCGCCGTCCTTTCAGGTCGCTGAGGAAGGAGTTGGCCCCACTCTGCTGCTGCAGAAGCTGGTCCAGCCGATCACACAGGTCCTGGTCCAAGGTAGCCCGGCACCGTGGAGCCAGCACCATGTGTTCTTTGATTTCAAAGGGGGCAAACTTACCACAGGAGCCGGCCAGGGTCTGCAATACAACAACCCAATGCAATGCTGGCAGGTGAGAACACCGTGGCCAGTCCAGGTGCTCGGGTCAGACGACGCTGCGCTGCCCAGGTGCATGCAGTAGGTACTATCACTCGGTGGCCACAGGGAGATGCTTGGGTGCTGAAGACATCAGGGTCTTCCTTCTTTGCAGTGATGGGGACGGATCTCAAACAAGGCCAATTGAGAGCTACCTGTACCCTACTGGCCTGTCACCCCACCTGTGGAGACACAGCCTTTTTTTCTTCTCTTTTTGGTTTTTCGAGACAAGGTTTCTCTCTGTATTGTTTTGGAGGCTGTCCTGGAACTAGCTCTTGTAGACCAGGCTGGCCTTGAACTCACAGAGATACGTCTGGCTCTGCCTCCCGAGTGCTGGGATTAAAGGCGTGTGCCACCACTGCCCGGCTGGGAGACACAGCCTTTCTGTAGCCTGGTTGGTGTCAAACTCACAACTCCTCACCTCAGCCTATTGAGATGACAAGCATGGGCTGACATGCCTGGCCTCCATATTCTGTATTTTTATTTAAGGGCTGGAGAGATGGTTCAGCAGTTAAGACCACTGGCTGTTCTTCCAGAGGACCCAGGTTCAAATCCCAGTACCAACATGGCAGATCACACCTGTCTGAAACCTCCAGTTCCAGGGGCATGTTCTCTGTGGGTACTGCATGCATGTGGTGCTGGCAAAACTTCCAAATACATAAAAGTCCACACAAAGTCTCCATTCATTTTGTTATGTGAGCTTATACATGCCATGCAAGGTGTTTCCCCAATTCTACCTTCCAGATCTTAATCATGGTGAGGGCCTTTTGGTCCCCAACTTTTGTCAAAGTCACTGAGTTCTAGAAAGCCATTTTTGTTTGTTTTATTTATTTGGATTTCATTTATGAGTGCTCTGCAAAGCAGAGGAGGGTATCAGATCCTATTATAGATGGTTGGGAGTCACAATGTGGTTACTGAGAATTAAACTTAGCCATCTCTCTAGCCCCAGAAAACCAGTTTTAATGTGTGAAACTGGGTGACTAGGATAACCAGGATGAATGGATGAGACCAGAGACAAGCAGCAGCTTGGGCTTCAGGGAGGGCACACAGCGGAGTTCAGAGTCACCTCCTTCTTCTGAAAAAGGTGGCAATAGGGACTGTGACCCAGTGGACAGATGGGCAGACTCATCAAGAGTCTCACAATGCCAGCAGTGATGGCACTTGCCTTCAATCCCAGCACTCAGGAGAAAGGAGGCAGGTGGATCTCTGTGAGTTTGAGGCCAGCCTGGTCTACAGAGTGAGTTCCAGGACAGCCAGGGCTGTCACATGGGGAAAGCCTGTCTAAGTCCCTCCCACACAGAGAGAGTCTCACAGTGAAAACCCAAGAGTCCCCAGCAGGGTCCTCATCCAGCTGTGTGGCAGGAGGTTGGACTGGTCTTCCCCCATTCAGGAGAAAGAACCTGAGAGTGGGCAATGAGGGGAGCTGGCTGGGTGAAAGGTTGGCATCAGGCCACCCACCTCTCTGGCACCCTGAGCCTCTGTATCTAGGGCCTCGATGCCAGCCACAGGTTAGTCCCAACCAGTTTAGGCAATTAATAGGTGACAGGCTCCGAGAGATGGTCTCAAAAAGCGGTGAATGCAGACAAACTCATACAATTAGAAATAAAATCAAAATTTGAAAATATGGTGGAGAACAACAGAAGACACCAGCATCTGGCTTGCTAATGAGCGCACAGTCGGCTGCACCAGAGCTGAGGAGGTGCTCACCTTGGGGGCCTGCGGAGTCTTTGGCTTCTGGAAGAACCTGGTGATCTCTGCCTTCTCTGCCTTAATGCGCTGTGGTGGGGAGGGAACGGGACAGCACAGTTACCCCAGGGCACTCTGGGAAGGCAATACTGTGCTTGCAAGTTCTCAGAACCCTAACCCGTGAGGCATCCGCCCAGCGAGGAGCCCGTGCTGACAGCAGCCGAGGGAGGCCAAGGTGGGTATGAGTAGTAGGTGCACAGTCCCCATGGGGCCCACTGTCCCACACTGAAACACAGAAAGCACCCCAAAGTGTAGTGCCCAAGAGGGGCAGGGTGGGCAGCTAGGCTACCTTCTCTTCTTCCCGTAATCGTTTTTCTTCCTCTTTCTTCCTCTTCTCCTCCAGTTTAGCCCTGGGAAATAGGAGACATGAGCTGTGAGCCCGGAAGCCATTTCTCTCCCCATACCCCCCTCCTGCTGTGCTGTGACAAGGCTGTGGACCTGGGACTAATAAAACAAAGAGCACAACATCACAAAATTCTTTTCTTTGCTTCTGAGACAGTCTTCCTAAGTAACCCCAGGTTGGCAACAGCAATCCCCCTGCCTCAGCCTGAATGCTGACATTACAGGTACCCCAAATATCCATATAAAATTATTATTTTGAGGGGCTAGACAAATGGCTCAGAGGTTAAGAGCATTGACCTCTTTCAGAGGTTTAATTCCCAGGAACCACATGGTGGCTCACGACCATCCATAATGAACTCTGGTGCCCCCTTCTGGCGTGCATGTGTTCATGCAGGCAGAACACTGAACACATAATAAATCAATCAATCCATCTTTTAAAGAAATTATTATTTTGATGGGGTCTCATTATATAGACAAAGTTGACCTGCAACTCACAGAATCCCCCAGCACAAGTGCAGATTAAAGGCAGCACCACATCCACTCATCAATACGAAGTTCTCGATGCATTTGGGGATCAGTGGATAGTGACAGCTTGTCATGTATGAGGCCTTGGGTTCTAGTCCCAACATGTCAAAAGCCAGATGTAGTGGTGCCTGCCGATCACCCCAGCACTATGTGGAGTCAGGAGAATCAAAACTCCAAGATCATCCGCAGCAGCATGGCTCACTTACTCAAAAATCACTCGTCATTTATTAAGTCTCAACCACCTACTTGCAAGGTACAAAGAGAGGTGCATGTCTTTAAACCTAGTGCTCAGGAGGCAGAGGCAGGCCTGGTCTACAGAGTGAGTTCCAGGACAGCCAGGGCTAAACAGAGAAACCCTGCCTCAAAAACAAAACAGTGTTATCTTGACAGAACTGCCTCACAGCTCAAGAGCTGCTGTGAACTGTTTTCAGTGTCAAAACCTCACAGATCATCCACTGAGGCAACAGCCCAGTTAGGAAATTGAAGAAGAAGTCCTGATGGGACCAGAGCATCTAAAACCAAAACCCCCAGTAGCCCAGGGGCCACCACCAGATAAAAGCCTGCAGCCCTACAAAAAGAACACAGGCCAGAAGCCAACTGCCCTCCCCAGGCAGGCTGCGGTGAGCCAGGAGGATGGAGCAGATGGAGCGGGGAGCACTGCCTGCGGGGGGGGGGGGGGGGAGGGAGGGGGAAGGGGGCACCCTTCCTTGGGCCGCACTCACTCCAGAGCCTCCTGCCGCTCCTTGCGTCGCTCTTCCTTGAGCCGCTGCTTCTCCGCCTTCTCCTTCTCATCCTTCTCCCGCTTCTCCCTCCGCTCCTTCTCCTTCAGCTCCTTCTTCTCCTCCTTCCTTCTCCGAGCCTCCTCCTTGGCTCTCCGTGTCTCTTCCCTCAGCTTCTCCTTCTCCTCCCTCTGCTGTTCTTTGTCCTGTGAAGACGTGGCAAAGGTGCACCCCGGTGACCCATGGTAAGAAGTGCCACACACAGAGCCCAGTGTGCGGCTAGCTCAGCACCAAAGGCACAAGCGCCAGGGCCGTGGTCCTGCCAGCCCAGCTCATTCCCTACACACACTCGCGCATGACTTCATTTCTTTTGAAATGGGAGACTGAACTGAGGGCAAGGACAGGAGCCTGGTGGGTGAGTGTTAAAGCCCTGGGTTGTACCCCAACGCCCAGCAGAGATCCTTTTGGGACTGAGCGCTACCCCAGTAGGTCTCTCCAAACTGGAGTGTGAGCCCTCAGTGTCCAGCTTGAAAAAGGACCTCAAGCCTTCCTGTCCTGAAGCCTGTGGATGTGGGGCAGTTGCTGTAGCAGGCCTGCGTTGGGTGGTTCCTTGGTACTGGGGACTCCAGCATGTTTTGAAACCATGGCTGAGCCACAGCTCTCAAGCGCTACTTTCTGGCCAGAAGGTGCAGGCCCAACTGCACTGTCAGTTCCGGGTTGTTACTAAGGAAGCAGAAGCCCTGGAGACTCAGTCTGGCTGCTGCACCTTCGTGTGCGTTGCTCACACGGACTGAATTGTACCTGGCAGTGCAAGCATGCCATTTGTCACTGGGAGAATGGGGCCAGCCTGGGCTAAGCAGACAGGTATGACAGACAGGCCTGGGGTGCACCTCAGAGGACCAGTATGTTCAGCACGCAAACAGCATGCCTTTCCAATACCAACCACCTTAAGGAGCACCCAATGACACAACACTCCTTCCTAACTGCAAAGGGCTGTGTAGTCCAGTGAGCACAGCAGGGCCTAAACTTTTCCACATTAGAGTGTCCCTTTCCCCACAGGCCACATGATGACCACGAGACCAAAAAGCCACAAGCAGCTGTCACCCCTGCATTGTCTGGGGCCTCTTCCATGTGACTACCTCACACCCTTCCAAGGAGAGTGAGACCACGACTAAGGTGTTTTGTTTAGTTCTGTATTTTGTCTTGAGACAGGGTTTCTCTATGTAGCTCTGGCTGTCCTGGAACTCACTTTGTAGACTAGGCTGGCTTTGAACTCATGGAGATCTGCCTGATTCTGCTTCCTTGAGTGCTGAGAATAAAGGTGTTTGCCACTACCCCGGGCTTTTCTTACCTTTCTGAGTCACTATATAACCCCTTAACCCTGGCTGGACTTGTACTCAATGCCCCTTGGAAGGCAATTTGCCCACTGCCTGCATGTGCTAGCAGAGACCCAGGCGGGGCCTGCTCAACTCATGACACTCAGCCATCACCATTGTTAGCAGTGGCAGCTCAGGCAGCAGAGCCCAGAAGCACAAGGCTCAGAGAGCTGGGAGGACCTTACTCTGTGTAGTTTGCTCCTGCCCTTCGCCGTGGAGCCTCTGACGAGTTTCTGGTTAACCTGAAAAGAAAGACATAAGAGCTTAGGGACTCCAACCACATTCCCAAGGGGTGCCATCCTACCCCACGGGAAGGGCAGTGGGGCCTGGAACCTACAGGGGACATCCTGGATTTGGTCTACAAGCCCCAGGAGAGCCAAGTGATTGAGCAGTTGACTTTAGCTTGAAGCACAAAGACCTGATTAAGTCCCAACACAGAAAGAACCAGGTGTAACGAGGGACAGTTTTAATCCTAGCACCAGGGACTAGAGCTCCTTATTTAGTTGGCCAAGCCCACATGGTGGACACAATCACAATAAGAAGCTCAGTGTGGTGGCCATGTCTTTAGTTCTAACACTGGGGAGGCAGAGGCAGGCAGTGAGTCTGGTATATATGGCAAGACCGAGGTCAGCCAGGGAGACAAAGTGAGACTCTACCCTATCCCCCAAAATGGTGGACAATGCCTGCAGACCAATAATAAAGGTCTTCTGGCCTCCACTCACACAGGAACCAATCCACAAAGGTTGTCAAGGATGATATGGTTTATAGGTAGAATCACCCAGTGAGGAGCTGGGGGTGTGGTCAGGGGGTGGAGCCCTCTGCCTAGGAACCACCAGTAAGAGGCTGAGGATGTGGTAGGAGTGGAGGCCTACCTAGAATCCTCCAACAAAGGGCTGGGGGCGTGGCTCAGGGGTGGAATGCCCCCTCTGTATTGAGACAAAGCAGAAACAAAACAAAACAAAACATTGTTGCAAAAAAAACCTTTTTCAGCAACAGTATCAAAGGTTATTACAAACACGGTCAGAATACAAAGGCCTTACTCAGCGAGCAGAGAGAAATCAGCAGTGGACAGGGATGAGCTGGAAGCCAGCTCCTCCAAGGTCCAAATGAAACCCTTCCTGGTACAAATGAGCCTGAGGTCTTTGTGGTGCTGGAGTTGAACCCTGGACCTAGACCTGCCAGGCACGCCATCACTATGAGTCCCTCGTCTGACAGATGCTTTTTAGAGTGTGGCAGGCCACCTTGTCTGGGCCCATGACCTGTGTAGTCTTTGCTCTTCTGTGGGATTAGGATGACTTATTGAGAGATTAAGTACAAACTAGGAGGCTGGGTGCCTGGCTCAATGGCACAGTGCTGACCTTGTACATGTAAGGGTCTGTGTTCTACACACGGAAGCAGGGTGGAAATCGCTCTGCAGGTTCCTTTCAGACTTGAAGAGAGGCTCAATGGTGGACAGAACTCAGTCTCAGCTGAGAAGATCAAGGCAGAGGCCGTGGAACACAGCACTAGCTGCAGGGACACTTTGTTGGCAGATCATAGACGGTCACGGACTGATTTCAGTCTCTGCTGTGAGTGTGTGGTAACCACACAACCACACTGTCAGACAGTCTCAACAAGGGCTTTTCAGATGAGGTAAGCCAGGGCTACAGAGAGACCTCTCAAGAGACAGGCAAGGCTGGTTTGTTAGTTCTACCCACTTACAGCACCCACGGTGATGGGAGGGCTTTCTATGGCCGGACACCCCTCTTTCTAAGTCAGGGAAGGGAGGGCAGGGGAATGACTACTGGGGGGTGGGCAATTGCAGGAAACATTACCAGCAAGGGTCTGACTACAGATATCAGCTTTCGAACAACTCTAAGACACCCCAGCAAGTGTGGTGCCTGGGATAGACAGGGGACACCAGAGACACCTGTCAAGACAAGGTATAGAACATGCAGGAGCTGCAGCCTCCACAGAGGCCTCTTTGCGGGAAGCCCAGGACACCAAACAACCAAGACACAAAGTTCTGTGAGAAGTGTGGCACCTCTCACATGCAGAGACAGACAAAGTGGGGAGACACATACAGTATACTGAGGGACACTGGGACTATAAAGATGCTCACTATGGATTTTTTAAAAACAGGCCCATTGGTGCTTTTACATATATCTCTGTGTGAGAGTGTCAGATTCCCTAAAGCTAGAGTTATAGACAGTTGTGAACTGCCATGTGGGTGCTGGGAATTGAACCTAGGTCCTCTGGAAGAACAGCTAGTGCTTTTAACCGCTGAGCCACCTCTCCAGCCTGGATTGTTTTTAGACAGGGTCTCATGTAGCCCAGGCTGTCCTTGAACTCAGATGTTCCTGCTGGCAGATAAGCATTGTCAGAACAGTTTCTGTGGTGCTGGGAATGGGCAGGCCTCCACAGAGGCCTCTCCTGGGTAAGCCTAGAAGCATTTGTATGAGGTACTTCCCATGCTGGATTCAAAAGATCCTCTGCCTCAGCAGCTCAGCACCAGAGCAACCCCACCTGCCTGCCCACATAGTTCAGCAGCATCTACACAGCATACATACATCATACACAGCACTTCCTGCCCTGGGCAGAATGATGAGAAAAGCTGTTTGGACATGTTCACAACAGATGCAAGTTTTCTAGTGGAATTTTCCCTGCCCGTGGTATTTTGAGCCAAGGTTTCCCTATGTTGCCCAGGCCTGGTCTTGAACTTTCAACCCTCTGCCTCAGTCTCCCAAGGGCAGGGAGAAAAAGCACACACCTGGCTTTGGTGAATGCAAGCAATGTAAGCACAGGGAACTTGCAGGGGTGCAGGACTGAAAACATTCTGGCAGCCAGCACTCACATGGCACAGAGGCAAAGACCAGGCACACGGCTGCACCAGCACTAACCTGAATGGAATGACACCCTGTGTTGCCAGACACCAGCTGAATGACAGGTTTCACAGCATATAAACCTGACCTCTGGTAGTGGACAAACTATGCTAAGAACCTTCCCTGATCCAAAAGACGCCAGATAGTCTAATCATGCCCTGCCAGGGTAAGTAGAAATCCCAGGACCTGGAAGGCAGGAAGATCTCTGAGTTCAAGGAAGGCTGGGGTTATACAAAGAGACCCTGTCTCAAAACACCATAAACAACAAAACAGGGCAAAGGAGATAGCTCAGCAGGTCAAAGTGCTTGTGAGCAAGCCTAACATCAGAGTTTGATCAAGTTGACTGACTCCCCAGTGCTGCTGACCTCCAAATGTTGCATGTGCGCAAAAAAGCGCACACACACTTAAAAATAAAATTAATAAGTGTTATATGATCCAATCAAAAAGTGGGCTACAGAACTAAATAGAGAATTCTCAGTAGAGGAGTCTAAAATGGCTGAGAGGCACTTGAGAAAGTACTCAACATCCCTAGCCATCCAGGAAATGCCACTTTGGAAATCAATATGAAGATTCCTCAGGAAAATGGGAATCAGCTTACCACAAGACCCAGCAATCCCACTCTTAGGCATATACCCAAAAGATGACCATTCATACGAGGACACCTGTTCCACTATGTTCATAGCAGCATTATTTGTAATAGCCAGGACCTGGAAGCAACCTAGATACCCCTCAACTGAAGAGTGGATAGAGAAAATGTGGTACATTTACACAATGAAGTACTATTCAGCAGAAAAAAAAATAGAATCTTGAAATTTGCAGGCAAATGGATGACACTAAAAGAGAAACATGGTTTGTACTCATTTATGGATTTTAGACATGAATCAGGGGGAGTGCCAGTCTACATGATGAGCAAAGGAGTTAAGACCGGGCTGGTTTAATCTACAGAAACAGTTGACCTAAATAAGGGGGAGCTCTTGGATCCCCAGATTGATGACTGGGTAGACAGCATGGGACTGACCCAGACCCCCTGAATGTGGGTGTCAGTGAGGAGGCCTAGGTAATCTATGGGGCCTTGGGTAGTATTAATCCCTGGTGTACAAATAGACTTTGAGTGCCCATCCCATCCCACAATGAGGAATGCTCTCTCAGCCTGGACTCTTGTGGGAGGGCTTAGGTCCAGCCCTGGATGAAATGACAGACTCTGGAGATCCACCATGGAGGGCATCACCCTCCCTGGGGATCGAAGTGTAGATTGGATGGGGGACTAGGGGACCTGGTGGGAGGGTGGGGGAGAAGGGGAGGGAGAGGGAGCTGGGATTGACATGTGAAACAAGCTTGTTTCTAACTTAAGCTTGAAAAAAAAAGTGTTATATGAGCCAGGCGTTGGTGGCGCACGCCTTTAATTCCAGCACTCAGGAGGTAGAGGCAGGTGAATCTCTGTGAGTTCGAGACCAGCCTAGTCTACAAGAGCTAGTTCCAGGACAGGCTCCAAAGCTACACAGAGAAATCCTGCCTCAACCCTGCCCCCCCCAAAAAAGATTAGCGGCTTCTTGAGAAGGGTGGTAGAGGCCACAGCAGGTGGCTAAGGTGGCCCCACTCACCTGGGGACTCTAACATTTGCCATTCAGCCCTGCTGTGATCTAGCTGCACCCTGGGTTAGGATGCCAGAAGGAAATAGAATCACCTTAGCTGTTCATTAACTACTGAATGATCCAGAAAATGCAAGTCATTGACACAATGGAATATTATTCAGTAGCTTAAAAAATGAAATTATGATGCCGGGCATTGGTGGCATCACAATTTCCCAGCCAGGGGAGGCAGGTTAATCTCTGATTTCCAGGCCAGCCTGGGAAAACCAAAAGAGAAAGAAAAATGAAATTATGGAATTTGCAGGACCCAGACCCAGAAAGACAAATGCCATCACAGTGTCCCATCTGTGAATGCCATCCCTGAATCCGTAGTGGGATGGGTCTACATGGAGCATTCACAGAAGGCAGGAAAGCAGTAAGGCCATGAGAGGAGCATCTGCAAGGAGGAGATAAGGACCAAGAGCAGGGTCAAATGGGGTGGGGTAAATAACACTGGAGGCCTTTTATAGCTTTCTACAGAGACTCACTACTACTCAAGCATCCTAGTTCATAAATACACAGGATTTAAATGGAGCTGCCCTAATTGGCTACAGTAATAAACTCCCTTTAGGCTCCTCTTTTAACAATGTGTCTTCACATGTGTCTGTGACCATGTACATGCCTGGGGTCCTCTGAAGGGGTAAGTAAGTAGTCTCCAGGACTGAATCATCTCTTTGGCATGCTGTATTCTTATCTTTACACCCACAGACAGGTCAGCTCTCACTCTAGAGGCTTCTTTCTTGAGATACTGTC